TCACCCCTCACTTCTTTAGGCTGGGAGCTCTGGGTTATGCTCAGGTTACCACCTCAAGCTTCCTAAGATATCTTTCTTCTTCTTTTTTTTTTTATTAATCCTCATCAGAGGATATTTTCCCATTGATTTTTAGAGAAAGTGAAAGGGAGAGGGAGAGACACACAGAGAGAGAAACATGGATGTGAGAGAGACACATGTATCGGCTGCCTCCACACATGCTCCCCGACCAAGGCCAGCAATTGAGCCTGCAACCAAGGTCTGTGCCCTCGACCAGAATCGAACCAGGGACCTTTCAGTTCATGGGCCAACGCTGTATTCACTGAGACAAACTGGTTAGGGCCTGAGACATCTTTCTAATGTGACTGACCAAAATTTGAATTTCAACTTAAGCAAGTCCAAATTATTATTGGTAAACAAATCTATGATGTAATTCATACTGTAAATCATTAAGAGTCTTGATAAATTCAATATGTAAGTTATTTCTTAAAAATACTGTTTGCAATTTCATTTTTCACTTCCTTTTGAATGTATTTGTGTATGAATTTATTGATCTAAAACTCTAGTCTACAAAGTATGTGAGGTGGCTTTATTTGCTTATTTATTTTTTTTACCAATTTAAGATCCTATATAATAAAAGGTTAATATGCAAATCAACCAAACGGTGGAACGACCAGTCGTTATAACGCACACTGACCACCAGGGGACAGACGCTCAATGTAGGAGCTGCCCCCTGGTGGTCAGTGCGCTCCCACAGGGGGAGTGCTGCTTAGCCAGAAGCCAGGCTCATGGCTGGTGAGCACAGCAGTGGTCTTGGGAGTCTCTCCTGCCTCTGCGGCAGCACTAAGGATGTCTGACTGCTGGCTTAGGCCCACTCCCCTAAGCCACCAGTCGGACATCCCCCAAGGGCTCCCAGACTGCGAGAGGGCACAGGCCAGGCTGAGGGACCGCCCCCCGCCAGTACATGAATTTTGTGCACCAGGCCTCTAGTAAGAACATAAAGAGTTATTTATGCCCCTACTAAATTTTATCATTTCCTGCTTTAAAGAGTAGAGTGAATTAAAAGCCTAAAACAAGAGTCAACAACCCTCAACAGCCATACTAAGAGGTTATGTAGGTCATAGCATTTGGCCCACTTGTGGCAACCCCCATCCTCAACTCCTACTACCCCAACACCTGGATTGCTTGTGCCACCACAACAGAAGTAGAGCCATCAACAATATGTGCTGTAGGAAAAAACACCTTTTCTTTATCCAAGAAATAAGCAGTCCACTGAACAGCTATTTCTACACACAAGAATGAGGTATTTCAGTAACATCAGACCTCTTATTAGAGCTATTTCCAATGCTGAAGGATTTAGAGTTAGAGCTGACAAGTGTGGAATGGTATGAAGTCTCCCCACCAGGTGGAGAGGAGCAGGGAAACCCAGGCAGATGCTTTGTCATATACAGAAAAGTCCAAAGGTCTTTATAGCTAACAACTGAGCATCTTGAACATTTTTGTAAAGGATTTTTCGATATAATTAGTCTCCATTTTATATATTTCATCTTGAAGCTGCAATGAACATACAAAGTTTGGTAAATTTATCTTTTCTTCCCTTCCCTACACCGTAAGATTAAAGGTATATTCATTCTCTGGTAAACAATTTTATGGAGACATTATATTTTATAAAATGAAGGCTATATGTAGGTGCAGTAAGTTTTCGAATTTCACTCGGAGAAATGAGAAATTTGGAAGTAAAGGGATAGAAATAATTTTAAATGGGTGAAAAATCTAGTATTACTTTTGGTTTACTACTCTATAGCCCAGTTTTGCTAAGATTTACTTTTAGATTATTTGATAAGTTATAAAAACACTATCTAGCCCTAGCCAGTTTGGCTCAGTGGACAGAGCATTGGCTTGCAGACTCAAGGGTCCCAAGTTCAATTCCAATCAAGGGCACATGACCGGTTTGCCCCAGTAAGGGGCATGCAGGAGGCAGCCGAACAATGATTCTCTCCCATCATTGATGTTTTTTTCTCTCTCTTTCCTTCTCCGTCTCTCTGAAATCAATAAAAAAAAATTTTTGTCAATAAAAAAAATTTTTAATATATAAAACAAAAACAAAAGAACACCATCTAAATACATGAAATACTTAATTCACTATTTATGGCATGAGCTGAAGAATTAATTTCCATTTATCAAAATCTGATGAATTTGCCTTCACAAGCTAAAGACAGAAAAAAGTTCCTGAAAATTTAGAAGGTAACTGTTAACTGTCCTAGTTCATTCTTCTGTGGTAACTGAGTTTACCTAGTCGCATGGCCACTCAGCTACAGACTCCTTTCCCAGTTTTCCCTTTATAGCTAAGTATGGCCATGTGATTTGTTTTCTCCAATGAAATGTAAGTGAAAGTGATGTGTGCATCTTTCTCATCACTTGCTTGATAGCCTCTCCTTCCCCACCCCTTACTTTGAGCTAAAACTCAAAGTGATGACTCTACTTCTGACAATACCTAAGAAATGAAAGGAATCCCGATCTCTGAATTACCATGAGGTGCGAAAGAAACCTCTAACGTGGTTCAGTCACTCTATTTTGGGAATTCCATTATAGTAACCTAGCTTATATTATTATTTAATCTTTACCCTAGGATATGTTTTGCACTGATTTTAGAGAGAGAAAGGAGAGGGAGAGGGAGAGGGGAGAGGAGAAAGAGAGAGGGAGAGGGAAAGGGAGAGGGAGAAGGAGAGGGAGAAGGAGAGGAGAAGGAGAGGGAGAGAGAGAGAAAGAGAAACACCGATCAGTTGCCTCCCAAATATGCCCCAACCAGGGATTGAACCGGCCACATTTTGGTGTACTAGACAGTGCTCCAACCAACTGAGCCACACCAGCCAGGGCCTAGCCTATATTATTATTATTTTTTAAAGCCAGCTTTAAAAATACACACACACACACACATATATATATTTACTGATTTCAGAGAGGAAGGGAGAAGAATATGGAGACAGAAACATCAATGATTTCATTGATCAGTTTACCTCCTGCACGCACCCTATTGGGGATTGAGCCCAAAACAGGAGTTGAACCGTGACCTCTTGGTTCATAGGTCAGTGTTCAACCACTGTACAACACTGGCCAGGCCCTAGGTTATATAATTGACGAAAATAAAACTCACCACCAAAAGGATAACACAGAAAGAATATTTATGTATTTTAAGCAAGAACCAAAATAACCAGTTTGAATTCTATCATGCCAGCTTTTTAATAGTTAAATTTTACCCTGAACCCTAGTCAGCCTCTAACCACAGAACAGACTGAAAATATTATGCAAAATGATTGAAGATATCCTTTACTTTTAATATTAGCTTTAATACTAGTAAAGAAAAATTATGACACTTTTCCCCACCATAACTGACTGAGGGGGTGATTAGTCCTGTTATTAAGGGTCCTTTCTTTTTAAGAAACGTATGTGTGTGTTGCTATACTCAGTGTCTTTCAGATCTTTCCTCTAGAAAAGGTTAATCTCCAGGTGAGTAAACAGTACACAGGTACCTGAAAGTATATTCAAGTATCAGCATGTACCCTTTTGTATCAGCAAAAACTGAAATACGAAAAAACCTCTAAAACTTTCTAATTTGGGTTAAGATATGAGATTAGAATTTTAGGATTAACAGAAGATTCTGTTATTTCTCTCTTTTTTCACGTTGTATATTTTCTCTGTATAGTCTTGTCCATTTCTATATACTGTTGACTCCCACATTTATTACCTCTAAGGGCCAAACCTGCGTTCCAGAGCCATAAATCCTAAATCCACATGACTCATTTCACCACCTGTGTTATGGATCATATGTTTCTTTCAACACCTTGCTCCATCAATTTTCTTTACTCTTCCATTTCTTTAATCAATCTACCCACCTCCCCTCCTGGATCCTTCTCATCGTTGCTTAAATATGGGTAAGCCTACTTCAAACAAGTAAGAAAGCAAACAAAAACCCTAGACTCCACATTACCCTCTATATCTAATTTTTTCCTTTCACTGCTTAATATCTTAAAGGAGTTATCTATACTGCCTGCTGTTTCTATGTTCTTACCTCCTGTTCATGCCTTAGTCACTCATTAATCTCTTTACCCCACATAAACACTTAACCAAGATCATTGCTTCACACACAGGAAGAGCAATGGGGTAAACACTGGAAAAAATAAGTTTTAATCTTGGTTCAGCTGTGATGTAACTAGGGCAATTAATCTTTTTTCAACTGATTTTCTGAACCATAAGATGAGGAAATTAACTTAAATCCTTCCAGTTTATAACTCTTCTGGTTTTACAGATATGCAGGAATTTAGTTGCCACTTTTATTCCTTTCATAATTAGAGACAAGAATGGTGTGAGACCACGGTATGCCCTGCTTCTAGAAGTCAAGGTTTTGGTGCCCTGTTTGGTATCCTAAATATAAAGATTTGGGGTAGTGAACATGATTTCTAAGCCCCTTTCCAAATCTAAATTGCCTAGGCCCCTGCCTCACAAACACTGATTCCATTTCTGTGAAATCCTTCCAAATGGAGCCCAAAATGAACTACCAGGAGTGAAACATGGCCTATAGGGCAGGCGATCCAGGTTGCCTCTGGTATATATAATTTCCTGCTTTATTTCCATTCCATCGTGCTGCCCATCAAAAAAGAATACTTGACCAGAAATGAGTAGGCTTACACACCTGATTAGCAATCCAATTTACTCAGTACCCAACCACTGAATTCATGTAGATGGGCCTCTCTTTCTGCTTTGGTTTAATAGATCCAATTAAACACTTGCCTTTTATTTAAATCCAGACTAAAATTATAAGCATAAGTGTGAGAGCCAGAGTATGGTGAGATTTAAAGAGTCTTATAGTGCCAAAGATAATGAGTGGGCCTATCAAGAAGGTGCCCACATATACCCCCTCCTTTGTAACACATGCAAATCCAGCCACAGCATGCAAATACCAGACTTGGGCACAAAAACAATGACACATTTCAAACAACACTCACCCTCTAGATTCTCCAGAAAGGAAGTGGACATGAGAGCTCATTGTGGTTAGGCCATTTCTCTGCTGAACCTGATGGCTGGTGTTCCAAGTCAGATATAAACTGGTCTGTGTCAAAGAAGACAATATCACTACTGAATGGAACAAACCAGAGGGTAACTTAATCTACTACATGCCCAGGCTGCTTTTTTTCTATAAGCAAGAGGAATTTAATTGTCCTTTATCTGTCAATTACTGCACAAAATGACTCCCCACATTTTACAAAATAATACGAATATTGGAGTCCAGAAACTTTAGGAGGTAATAACTGGTTTATTTTCTAAAATTAAAAGTGCAGCCCTAGCTGGTTTGGCTCAGTGGATAGAGCATCGGCCTGTGGACTGAAGGGTCACGGGTTCAATTCCCGTCAAGGGTACATGCCCGGGTTGCGGACTCAATTCCCAGTAGGGGGCATGCAGGAGGCAGCCAATCAATGATTCTGTCTCATCATTGATGTTTCTATCTCTCCCTCTCCTTTCCTCCTCTCTGAAATCAATAAAAAAAATATATATTTTTAAAAAGTGCCCTAACCGGTTTGGCTCAGTGGATAGAGCGTCGGCCTGTGGACTGAAGGGTCCCAGGTTCCATTCCAGTCAAGGGCATGTACCTTGGTTGCGGGCACATCCCCAGTAGGGAGTGTGCAGGAGGCAGCTGATCGATGTTTCTCTCTCATCAATGTTTCTAACTCTCTATCCCTCTCCCTTCCTCTCTGTAAAAAAAATCAATAAAATATATTAAAAAAAAAAAAAAAAAAGTGCAAGCCCTGGCCAGTAGCTCAGTTTGTTAGAGCATCATCCTGATGTGCTAAGGTTGATTCCAGGTTGAGGGCACATACAAGAATCAACCAATGAATGCATAAATGAGTGGAACAACAATTCGATGTTTCTCTCTCTCAAATCAATAAATAAAAATAAATACATAAAAGTGCAACAATTTGAAAAGTTATAATGATGGTTTTCAGTGATTTAAGAGATAGATTTAGTTTTAAATAAACTAGTTTTTATTAGATTAGCTCTATTTGTAGTTTCCAAATACTCATCTACGGCTACATCAGAATTATCTGGGCACTTAATAAAAATCTAAATTCCTGGGCTCTACTTCAGACCACAGAATCAAAATATCTAAGGGTGGCCTGGCCAGTGTGGCTCAGTGTTTGAACGTGGACCCAGGAACAAGAAGGTCACCAGTTTGATTCATGGTCAGGGCACATGCCCAGGTTACAGACTCAATCCTCAGTGGGGGACATGCAGGAGGTAGCCGACTGATGTTTCTCTCTCATCTCATCAATGTTTCTTTCTATCCCTATCTAAAAGTCAATAAAAACATATTTTTAAAAATGTCTAAGGATAGCCCTGGCTGGTGTGCTCAGTGGTTAGAACATCGGCCTGCACACCCAAGGGTCGAGGGTTCGATTCCGCTTAAGGGCATGTACCTGGGTTGCAGGTCCCATCTCTAGCCCTGGTTGGGGAGCAGGCAGAGGCAACCAATCGAGATGTCTCTGTCACATCATGTTTCTCTTTCTCCCTTCCGTCCCTCCCTCCCCTCCCCTCTCTAAAATTCAATGGAAAAATATCCTCGGGTGAGGATTTTAAAAAAATGCCTAAGGGTAGGAGCTCAGAAAAACTATATGCACAGGAAAAGTTGGGGGGTGGGGTGGTCACAGAGGAATATTTTTAAACTAAAGTTCATATCCGTTAGCACAGTGGTTCTCAACCTTCTGGCCCTTTATTTTTTATTTATTTTTTTAAAATATATTTTATTGATTTTTTACAGAGAGGAAGGGAGAGAGATAGAGAGTTAGAAACATCGATGAGAGAGAAACATCGATCAGCTGCCTCCTGCACATCTCCTACTGGGGATGTACCCGCAACCCAGGTACATGCCCTTGACCGGAATCGAACCTGGGACCCTTCAGTCCGTAGGCCTACACTCCATCCACTGAGCCAAACCGGTTTCGGCTCTTCTGGCCCTTTAAATACAGTTCCTCATGTTGTGACCCAATCATAAAATTATTTTCGTTGCTACTTCATAACTGTAATGTTGCTACTGTTATGAATCGTAATATAAATATCTGATATGCAGGATGGTCTTAGGCGAGCCCTGTGAAAGGGTCGTTCGACCGCCAAAGGGGTCGCGACCCACAGGTTGAGAACCGCTGCATTAGCAGGTTATGAAATCCATTCAGCAAACTAAAATCAGTATTTTAAAAAGAGAACAAAGTAGAAGATAGCAGTCTGCATTTTGTAAAAATAACGATTAAGAATTGGTTTTTGAGCCCTAGCCGGTTTGGCTCAGTAGATGTTGGCTTGCGGACTGAATGGTCCCAGGTTCGATTCCAGTCAAGGGCACATGCCTGGGTTGCCGGCTTGATCCTCAGCAGGGGGTGTGCAGGAGGCAGCCAATCAATGATTTTCTCCCATCATTGATGTTTCTCTCTCTCTCTCTCTCCCTTCCTCTTTGAAATCAATCAAAATATATTTTTTTAAAAAGAATTGTTTTTTGAGTCTTTTATGTTATTTGTATATGTTTTTGTTATATACTATGTCATGCTATAAAGCTTCTTATCATGGGAAGCTGTGATAAATGTTTGAAAATCATTATACACAAGAAGAGTCGCTATTGGTCAGTTTTGTCTGGATAGTGGCTGACACAATAAATGCCCAGTTAGAATCCAAAGTGAAATGAGGCAAAGCCTCCTCCTTTGGCCTATAAGAAAATAGTTTTGGCCTTTGCAGTACAACTTCAAACAAAAGGACCTAACTATGAATTCTAGAATGCTTTTTTCATCTTGGAAGAGAAGATGAAAACAGTAATTAATACTCTTGTCTTAAGCAGATAAAGAAGGGAAAACAAAGGAGGAGCCAATCTGTGCAAAATGCAGCCTCACTAAAGGGGTAAAAAACCCCACAAAAAAAACAGAAATCTGTGGTGCTTAGGGAAAATTTTTCTGCCTTAAGCTTTTTTAATACTGAATTTGAGTTCACTCACCTAGTCTTCAGGAGTGATTTAAAGATCCCAGTATGTACAAAGGATTTTTATTATCAAGTCTCCTTTCTGACAGTGCCCAATCTCCACAACTGAATCCTCTAAAACAGACTTGAAGCTGTTATAGAATACTGATTCCAAGTAAAATGGCACATAAATTAAAAGAAAGAAACCCAGGAAGAAAGCTAAGAGGCCAAAAGATACTGAGGGCTTTTGTGAGTTGGCTAAAGCAATAGTCATTTCAGATTGTGCTTATGGAAACTTGCAGTCCTTGAGACATCTTTCTAGTTCCTTGAACCACTACTGACAGCTCGAAAAACTATCTAATTCATTATTTCCTATCACAAAAACTTTGACCAAACATCTAAAGAAGAATTAACACTAATCCATCTTAAACTCTCCCAAAAGATTAAAGGGGAAGGAATACTTCCTTAACTCATTCTAAGGCCAGCAATGCCCTGATATCAAAGCCAGACAAAAACACTTTAAGAAAAATCCCCTATGAATTTTGCTACAAAATAGTAGCAAACTGAATCCTGCCGCATATTAAAATAATTATACATCATTACCAAGTGAGATTTATTCCCAAAATGCAAGGATGGTTCATCAAATGAAAATCAATTACTGCCCTGGCCAGTGTGACTCAGCTGGTTGGGCATCTATCTTCCTGTGCACCAAAAGGTTGCCAGTTTGATTCCCAGTCAGGGCACATGACCAAGTTATGGGCTCAATCCCCTGTAGGGGGCGTGCAGGAGGCAGCCAATCTATGTTTCTTTCTCATCAATGTTTTTCTCTTTCTTCCTTCCTCTCTTTCTAAAAAAAAAAAAAAAAAAAAAAAAAAAAATCAATAAAAAAATATCGCCCTAACCGGTTTGGCTCAGTGGATGGAGCGTCGGCCTGCGGACTGAAGGGTCCCGGGTTCGATTCTGGTCAAGGGCATGTACCTTGGTTGCGGGCAGCTGATCGATGTTTCTCTTTCATCAATGTTTCTAACTCTCTATACCTCTCCCTTCCTCTCTGTAAAAAATCAATAAAATATATTTTAAAAATATCGAATCAATTACTAGGATGGAAGGTAAAAAAAAACACATGTTCATCTCAATTGATACAGAAGCACCTGACAAATTTCAAAGTCCTTTAACAACAAAAAAAAATCACCCCACAAATTAGGAACAAAAGGGAATTTCCTCAAAATGATAAGACCATATATGAAAAACTCTCAGACAACATTATACTCAATTGTGAAAGTCTGAAACCTTTTGCCTTAAGATAAAAGACATGACAAAGATATCCACTTTTGCCACTTCTATTCAACATAGTATTGGAAGTTCTAGCCAGAGCAATTAGGTTAAAGAAATAAAAGGCATCCAAATGAGAAAGAGGTAAAATGTCTATTCACAAATGACATGATATTATACATAGAAAGCTCCAAAGAATCCACATACAAAAAATATTAGCACTAATAAATTAAGCCAACAATTATAAGCTAAAATTAACACACAAAATTCAGTTGTATTCTATAGTCATTCAATGAATAATCCAAAAAAAGAAATTTAAAAATCAATTCCAATTACAATAGCATCAGAAAGAATAAAAGGAATTAACCAAGGAGGTAAAACATTTGTACACTGAAAATGACACATTGCTAGCCCTAGCTGATTTGGCTCAGTGAATAGAGCATCGGCCTGCAGACCGAAGGGTCCCAGGTTGGATTCCGGTCCAGGACATGTATCTCAGGTACAGGCTCCTCCCCAGCCCAGGCCCTGGTCGGGGCGCAAGCAGGAGGCAATCAATCAATGTGTTTCTCTCACATAGATATTTCTCTGTCTTTCCCTCTCTCTTCCACTCTCTAAAAATCACTGGAAAAATATCCTTGGAGTAAACTAACTAAATAAATAACAAATACAACTCAATCAAAAAACGGGCAAAAGATTTGACTAAACATTTCTTCAGAGAAGATATACTTAATGACCAATAACCTCATGTAAGGGTGCCAACATAGTCATTAAGGCAATGCAAATCAAAACCACAATGATATACCACTCACACCCATTTAGGATGGCTATTCTTTTTTTTTTTATATA